CGGCCCTCCTCCTCGACGCCTGCTTTCATTACCTCTCCTGTGCCCTCCTAATCTGGGGTCACGTGTGTCAGCCTTGGCCAGTTCCCTGTCTGTCCACTGCTTGAGTGGGTTTCCATCCCAGCCTCTCTGGGCTGCGTGGGGTTCTATCCACTCTGAAGTCTCGAACCCCACTCTGGGAGACACCGAAGTTACCCTTCCCTCCCCTCAAGCTTCTGCATCTCCCTCCCTGGACAATGTCCCACGTTTACACGGAATTTAGTACCTTCCATCACGTCGGTCATCAAGGTCAGTGCTCGCGGTACCTGATTGTTGGCCTCCCGTCCTCTGCCATCACCACTCTCCTGTCCACACTTCCTCCTCTTCTGGACCAGTGTGGTACCTCACACAGTCCCTCTGCCTTCAGAATCGCCACACACACACACACACACACACACACACACAGAGGGCTACCTGAAACGCGTATCCGGCTCTGTCATTCTCTCCGAGAACCGTAGTTTGGCCTTTATCTGTACGAGTGAGATTCTAAGCCCCTCGGCATGTGGAAGACGCCCCAGAACCTGGTATCTGCATTTCCAAGCTCCTTGTCCTCACACCCTGCCTTGCCCATTAAAGCTTGGTCATCAGAAAATGCTCAGGATCACCGAAGCACCTCTCAGCATTTCCGGTTTCCAGCTGCCGCCTGTCCTTCCTCCTCACGGCCACTACCGAGGTGAGGCTGCTGAGCCCCTGAAATGTGGCTGGAGGTGTAAAGTGACCACATATTGAAGATGATGTTCATATACTGACTGTATGTTGCAATGACAAGAGTTTTGATATGTTGGTCTACGTCAACTATCGGTCGTCGGGAAAGCCGTGACGTTTTTGCGTAGAAAAATGCGCCACGACTTTCCCGACGACCCCCTACGTTGTTCATATTAATTCACTTGTTTCTTTTTACTCTTTTAATATGAAAGCTCAGTAGTTCTGTGCATATGGCTACTGAACAGTGGTTTGGGCCACCTCCCCCGCCTCCTGCGCCTCTCTCATCCCTCCATGTCTTCTCCTGTCGAAGTTCTTCATGTCTCTCGTGCCTTGGCACCCCCAGGGAGCCTTCCTGACGCTAGTGGGCTGGGCCAGGGGCCTGAAGCCGTGCAACGGAAGACACCTGTGTGCACCTGCCACACGCGACAAACCCATGGGCACTGTCTGCTTGCTCCTGCCCGAGTAGACCGCCAGCACCTCGAGAGTGGGGCCCACGTCAGTCACGTGGGCAGAAGCGCACGTCATCAGGCATCCTCTGCTCGTCCCAGCACAGGTGATCCGTCCCCACGCTAACTCGGGACTAGCCATGGGAGGGCATGGAACGAGGCGGGGCCAGCCTATTGGAGACGGAGAGGGCCTTGGGGAATAGCCGTTTCTGAGTGCCCACGTACCTGGGACTAAGCCACTCAATTCCACTCAGCACTGCCGAGGCTTCCTGCCTGCCCACTGTCACACGCTCGGGCAAGGCTCACAGAAAGTCCACTACAAAAAAAAAGCCCGGCCTGCACAGGTGAGACCGGAGTGAGTAAACGTGGGCTTCAGGGCACAACCGCCGGAGAAGAGCGTATTGTCCGAGAATTCAGAGAGAAGGAATTCTCCAACCACGTGGAAGATCAGAAAGGCCTCCCAGAGGCCCATCAATACTGATGGGATGTCAAAATGAAGAGAGGTGGTGGGGGAGAAGGGGAGGGGGAGGCAGGCAGGTGGGATGGGGTCAGCTGGCCCCACGAACCGGCCCGCAGATGGGACTGACTGGGCTTGTAGGGTGTGACGTTCGTATTGCAAAGTGGACCAGTTTGCTGGGGCTGCTGTAATTAGGTCCCACAGGAACAGAGTCCATGATCCCAGAGTCAAGGTGGCGGCAGGGCCAGGCTCCTCCCAATGCTCTGGGGGAAAGTCCTTGTCCTGATGACCTCTGCAGAGACCCTATTTCCAAACGAAGTCCCATTTGGAGGTACCGGGGGTCAGGACTTGGGCAAATCTTTCTGGGGACACATCAACCCACAGCAGGAGTGCCATGACGTGGGATTAAAGGAAGTCTAGGAGGCAGCCATGGCACGAGATGTCACGGCTCACGCACTCTCATGCCAGCAACCTGGACACACATGTACCTGCGCGCCCCGACAGGTCACCATGCACGATCCCCGTCCAAACCTCCCCACCTGCGTTCCCCGGGAAGAAGGAATTCTGACATGTTCAGGTTTCCCTGAGTTTAGACCCTAAAAGGAGCCACCTCCTCACGGCGTCAGTCGTTGCCTTCAATAAGAGGCTGCAGAATTAGCAGAGCAGCTGCAGGCTCCCTGGCTCCCGCCGCGGGCCAGGCCGGCACCGAGCAGTGCTAGTGCCACCTAGTGCCAGCAGCCAGTGACGGCGGCCCCCGCACATTCCCACAGGCACGAGCTGCCTTCAGCTTCCAAGCCTGTCACTGCTCTGGGTCCTCAGGCCGCTGCAGGATCCCCAGAGTACCTCCAGGACCCCCTCTCCTCCCCGCTGTGCTCACAGTTTGCAGATCTGCCAGCTCACCCAGGCATGGAGGGGGACAGAAAGCCGTGGGGGCACAGGTCTGTGGGTGCCGTCCCTGCTGCTCGCTCCCAGGTCCCCCCACACGTCCTCAGTGACGCGAAGGGTTTTTGTTAAAGTAGTGAGTTCTGGGTCAGGACACTATGAGCCACTGATGCTCAGGAAAATGTGCCATTATTTCATCAAAGCAGAGGGCGCAAACAGGCCCATGGACACCCACAGCCCCAAGAACTCAGTCCCTCACACACAGGCTCGTCCATCCGCCGGGAACCTCACACAACCCACGGGGCAGGATCGCAACACAGGCCCGATCAAATTCATTAATCTTATTTTCTAATGAGGGGCTACTTTTTGATAGGCTCTCCCTCCTGTGCACCCTGCAGTCAGCCTGTTCAGGATGGGCCAGGCCTTCCAGCCTCCGCCGTGGCACCTACCACTGCAACACCATGGCCAGGAGACCACGTTCCGTGCCTGGAGTCTGCCAGGACTTGGATCCAGACAAGTTCACCTGCCTCTGGGACGCCCTGACCACATGGCAGTGCTCCTCATCCAGGGACAAGAACTACTGACGCCTTCCTGACACCCACTTCAGTGTTCTGGGCATTTTCAAAACTCTTATCTAACTTACCTTTCTTTTGGTGGTGGAGTGTGTGTGTGTGTGTGTGGGGGGGGGCTGGTCTTGCTAGAGAGAGACAGAGAGGGAAAGTGAAAAATGAGCCTCCAGGGGGATGGCCATGCCACAATCCCTTCTCCTCCATTCTCCTCAGAACTCGGCCTGCACACACACACACACCCAGCATGATGTTCAAGCTGCCGGGTCTGAGGCTCACATCGGAGTCCGGCACCTTAACCACGACGCCACCTGCTGGCCCCTAGTTTGCCTTGGAGGCAGTCTTTTGAGGTAGGAAATGGAGTTATTTCTGTAACCTTTTTTTTTTCAACAGAATGCACAGAGAAAGGGAGAGCGTCTTCCTCCACAGACGAGTGGTTTGTTAGGGACGCGCAGGCCACCCCCTTCTTGCTGGGACAGCACGCTCCCCGAACGCAGCTGGCTCTCCACCGGAGGGTACCCCTGCCACGCCCCCTGGCACAGCTGGCCCCTGTGAGTGAAGGGCATGCACTGGGGCTTCTCCAGAGGGGACGTGCGCTCCCAGGAGGGTCCGGCCCGCCCTTGTCCCCATGTGTGGTGGTTCAGGTTGTGCATGGCACAGCCAGGGGTGGGAGCACTGGCACGCCCGGGTCAGTGCACATGGCACCCGCTGCCGTGGTGCGTGCAGCCACAGGGGCCAGCAGCAGCTCTGGGTGTGTCCACTTGCTGTGCCTCTCCAGCTGCCTGGGCAGGTCACGCCCGGGCAGGGCCGTCTGTATACTGGAACCTTCCTGGCCGGCCTGAGGGGAGGGCTCCCAAACAGAGGATCAAGGGAAATGTGACAGCTGGCGACTCCAGGGAACTCTGTCCTACTCTAGTTTCAAGGACAGTGAGAAACAGGAAGGTAGAGTGGGAGGCGGCCTGGCTTCCTCGTGACAGACAGCTCGTGGTGGTACCTGAACCATGCACTGCCACGCCCCCCTGTGATTTACACACCAGCACGTGTGCAACAACGTGACCCCTGGACAGCTGGAAAGCCTGTCAGTGCTTTCACGTGATCTGACATCCCAGAAGGCAGGAGTGTTGCGGGCCTAGCTGGAGGCCTGCTCTTACCGGGCTATGCAGGCCTCCTGCTGTAAATCTGCATTCACTTCTAGAAAGAGAGGCAGAGCCGTGGCTGTGACTCACAGGCACCTCTGTCCCCAGGGTCCCTACTCCCGGGCCGTTGCCGGCGGCCTCTGCCCTGTCTTCTCAGGGCCTGGTAATATACTGTCAGGCTAGCTTCGAGCCTTGGCCTCAGCTGCTGCAGAGCACTTCCTACAGACCCTGAAGCTAGCTGGGGGTTCACGTCTTCTGCTCCCCAGGTGTGACTTTCCTAGTAAGTTGGAGAAGGGGCGCTGAGAAGCGCATCCGCGGCCCCTCCCGAGCCATGGCCTGCACCGCGTCTGTTCCGTGTGCAGAGAATGCCCAGCACCTGACTTGCACCCCCAGGGTAACCCCCGAACGGGAGGATGCCACATTGTTGAACTTGGTAAATATTAGCCAAGTAGTTCCCTGACAGGTAACCCAACACAAAAACATTTCCAGCAAATAACTTCAATTTCCCCAAAGCAGTTCCATAATGACAGCAGCTCGGTAAAAAAGGAGACAGTCCCCAAACTGCGGACTCCCCATACTCGCACTTGTCTGCACACATGCCCGGCTGGGGGCGGAAAGTGACCAGGTCCAGACGGAATATTGTCGCTCTCACAAGCCTAAGTCAAGAGGAAGACAATGAAGGCATGAACGTTCTCTAGGCCTGATGGTGGGGAAGGGGGTAACCTCGAGGCATTGCCACAGAAAATGCCACGGCCAGATGTGGACAGGTCCACGCTGCAGAGAGCGGAAACTCAGATGTGCCTGCGCCCACGGTTTAACGACAGCAGCGCCTCCCAGGGTCTGCGAGGGAGCGGAAGGGACTTGCAGAGGAGGGACGGAGGGCATGAAGGGGAGGGAGCCCGCGAGCCAGCGCCAGTCACACGGGTATGTACAGGCTGGGGGATGCTCCCCGGGCGGCCAGCGCCAGTCACACGGTTATGTACAGGCTGGGGCATGCTCCCTGGCCGACCCAGGTGGACGTGAAAGAACGTTTCGGGGCTGACCTGGCCTCCGTCCCGCCTTGGGGCCCCTACGAGGCGCAGCTAGCTGCGTGACGGATGGCGAAGGCACTCGGGCGGGAGCCAGCAGCTACCTCCTTCTGTTCTGAGACCTGCGTCCAAATCCGAGCCTGAGAAATGGCTTGGGTGATCTTAATTTGACAGTTGTCAACATTTCAAAACCACTGCCAAGTTTAACCAAATGGAAGTCTTTGCTCAGGCCTGGCTCTACGCGTGTGTGTGCGTGCGCGTGTGTGTGTGCCCGGAGAGGTGCCAACCTGAGCCTGTGTAATACACCTGTGCACTCCGCAGTCGGGTCTCATCAGCATCTCTCACCTGACACACTCCGTGGGAGGGGAGGGAAAATGTCAGTTCGACGCCAGTAAGTTCAGTCCAGGGAAGCAAAATGCACAGATGAAAGTGTTCGGCAGGTGGATTAGATTAAAGGTTAACGCCTGAGGAGGAGAGCGGTATTGTACAGAACACAAACTTTCACGCAAGGAAGAAGCAGGACACCGTCGGGCCAACACAGACCGCAGCAAGGACTGTTTCTCAGCAAACATGTCGCAGGGACAGTACGGGACAGCGGTGGAAAAGGCAGTACCAAACCGCGAGAAACGGCGCTGCTCTCCTGAGGTCCCTCTCACACGAGGTGCGCATTTGAGGAAGAAACCACGGCACAGCCAGCCTGGGCTCGCCAGGCAGTGACTGAGACGAAGACGCAGTGTCCCAGCTGCCCATGCGGGTCTCAGCCGCGGCTCAGGGCCCTCCGTCCTCTCCTCCCCGAGGCGCCCTAGCACGGCCTGTGATGGCCATTTCCATGAGCGCCAAGTGTCAAGAAAGCACGAGTGGAAGGAAAGGGATGTGTTTCTGAGAACGTCTGTGAACGTTTCAATACGGCGGGGTGACGGCCACCCCCATCAGACCCACCCTAGGGCGTGGAAGGTCATTGCAAGCTGTGGCCTGTAACCAGGCTGGGATGCGGGTGCCTCCGACACGTCTGTGGAATGCAGCGGAGGGCTGAGGAGCACTTGCACACCCATGCACTTCCATAGGCCAGGAGAAAGGGTTCCCCAAGCTGAGGTGTGCCTTCTGGTTCATACTGTATTCCAGAACAGCCCGGCTGGCCCCGGGCTGAGTTTACAAACTGTGAGGTTCGATCCCTGGACTCAGCCGGTCAGAGTAGCGAGGACTCTGAGTCTTGCACAGGTCCCAGGGCTCAGCCCGCCGGCCCGGTCC